GGGAGGTGCTCACAGTAAACACGAAATAACTTTATTGACGAGGCATTTAGATATCTTTCAGAAAAAAATCAACGATTGCAATATGAATACAAGGGAAAATGTGCTGGCTCCATTGAAGGAAAAGGTCGAACAAGTAGCCGATGACTTGTCGGCATTCGATCCTGCTTCTACAACTTTGCTGAAAGAAATCGAGGCAAAGGGAGAGAATATAAAGAACCACACGGATACTCTCATAGCTGAGTTCAAGACAAAATGTAGCCAAATCAGAGCATCGAATCGCCAGATGTTGGAACAGTACCAGAGTGCGCTGCTGACCAAGATCTCGGAAATTGAGGCTGACATTTCTGCACTTGACAATTGTCTTACAGGTGAATGCAAGGAGGATATTGTCAATGCTGCCAAAACAGGAATATTGAAGACGTACCCATGTTTGGAGTATCCGAACGGGATCCAGGACGTATCATTCAAAGGAAGCGAGACTCCTGTAAAAGACGTCGTAAAGCTTATTGGGAAAGTTCAGATTGGAAATGAGTGTACTAGGTATGCTTTATCTAGTAGTTTGTGTACTAAGTATGATGTAAATAGATAACTAGTGTACTAGATAAGCTGTATTTAGTAGCATGGTAATACACATTTGGAACTTGCACACTTTAATAGGGGCATTGTGGTAGGTTAAGCAAAATTTAACGAATAAACATGAGTATTGTGTGAAATAATCTAAATGACCAATGTGCGGTATTGTTTCTAAAGTTCTAATTTCATTACGAATCATAAGAAATGTGTTTCAAAAAGATATAACAACATTACAATGAATATTAGTCATCATTGAATGTTCAACGTTACGTGTTTGTTTCATTTTTTTCAAAAAGGGACACTTATTTACATCGTATGACGAAATTCTATCTGATTTTGGTCCTGATTTATTGAGAGAAAAACAATGAACTTATAAAAAAACTTGCTTCATGTTAAAACATTTTTGACTGTTCAATATGGCTTTATATTTTTAACGTCATTTTGACACTCAATTAGGATTAAACATATATGATAGACAAATTCTTTCTGTCAACAATTCTTAAAAGGTTAACAGATTGATCCCTTGAATTACTGTAATGTGTTGTTTAACTACAGGGAAGAACCAGATGATGAGAAAATCAAACGATTGGAAGCGCAAATTACAGACCTCACACAAGAGTAGGATTTTTCTGGTTTACAAAATATTTAAACGTTTCCAACATCTATTCATATGTATTTTTGCAGACATTGAATCTGTATGAACCAAAGTTAACAGGTATCAACATAGAGATTTTTTTATGTATCTGGTTTATGTTTGCTACATACAAAATACCTACACGAATGCAAAGTCCTACATTGAAATTGGAAAAATATACATTAAAATGTAGAATTAATTGTTTGCTACTAGTCCTATTGGTAATGCTCAATTGATACTACAAGTACCAAACAAAACTGAATCAGTACTGTTATCCTACAACGGAGAAGATATATTGTCAGTTTGGATTTATTGTTACTAATAAATATGGTTTTATTGCAGGATAAAAAGAGATCAAACACTGATACAGAAATTGCAGGAAGAAATGAGGCGCTCTGCAGACCAGTGAGTTTTGCAAGGATAATTATTACAAAAATGTTTTTTTTTCGTTCTGCAAAATGATTGGTAGACATTCAAATGTTTTGATGTTTTTAAAAATGATATAAATATATTTTAACTTCTGTATATCTCATAGTCAGTGGTAGCGTCTATGTTAACTGCCATGAAACGTGTTTGCAGAAATGTGATGGTAATCCTATACATTTTCCATCAATCTACCGTACCTACTCATCAAATACGGCCTCTGTTGTAAACTTATGTGCCCCTTGTGGATCATATTACGGAACATTCGTTGCAATATCAGCCTTTCATCAACACTTTCTCTACCGGCACATTTCATAAATGTTCTTAAAACATAGTTCGATGCCGCTTATATTTGTTAAAGTATTATAAAGTTTTGTCAATATCATTTGTCTAAGAGTGGCATTTGCAAAAACCAAATGTATTGTTGGTTATGTAAAATAGACTTGGGATCAGATTTCGGTAGTCAAGTGGCGCGGTGAATAGTGTGCTGGCCCTTCACTATGACGGCCGGGGTTCAACTCTCCGATCAAGGCCAGTAACAAAAAGTAATAAGGTGCATCTTCATAACCCTTCCCCTAAAGGGATTTTACTAACGTCGTTCCGATCACCTGTTGGGTTTTCGAAGTTGTCCCAAACGGAGGATGTGCCCCGTCCACCCCCTACCCCCAGGGACGGATGGGCGGGGTCCAAAACTTAACGTATTTATGAAGGGATTTGAACCAAATTTACCTTGATCATCCGTCAAGAAAGGTCATTTTCTTTCCAAAGGAATGGAGATATGTTAACTAAATTTAGTCTAGAGCATCCATGTGCAAAAACGGACTCACTTTTTCATAAAAGGAGTGTGTTGGAATCAGGCCCAATAGGTGAAAAGAGATCAATAAATCGATAAAAACATACACCTGGGGACTTACTCCCCATATCGTAATACGGGATATGTTAAGACCACCACTCCAGAACCCTATACAGGTTGCCGGTCAGGAAAATTACTTTCGTGTTCTTGGTTTATTATCAACCACAACAGATGTATACCTTCTTTTAGATTGTATTACGTGTACTCCTTTGATACTCTTCAGGTTTTACATTGAAAATAAAATTCAGGTGAGTTAGTAAGGCCCCTGGGCCTCTTGTTTTATCGTCGCACAACATTTTAATATCTTACATCAACAGGAGATCTGACATGAGTGGTTATATCACAAAAGTAAATCGGTATTATATTGTTAAAAATATGTACTTTACGAGAACGTTCCTTCATCAATTCTACATTATTGCTATATATAAATATGATTAATAAATGTGGTTGCAGGGAACACACGTATCAGATACGTATATTGGCATTGGAGAGAGAAACAAGGGATTCAGCAGAACAGTGAGTAGCCCAATAAACCATCAGAAACGAAAAGAAAAATAAAGTATAGGAAAGCAAAATTAGGGGTAAGTAACAAGATCGTTTTTCAAATATCTGTTTAAGATCCGAAGGTGGTTTATAAGCTATTAAAACTAGCTTAGGGCAAAAGCGGAATCGAGAAAACAAATATCAAAATCAGCAATATGTTTACACCAGTCTAATGAAAACAAAATACTTTTTTTTGCATTCAGAAAAGGGATGTAGGGATTACATAATTGAGATGTGTCTACCAACATACTTCAAAGGTATCCCAAACATTAGCATTGGCTCTAAATTGACTTTATAGTAAAAGGCAGACATATTAAGGGGAATGTGTTCCGAAGATTTGATATGTGCGGTTTAAATGCCGATAAGAAAAATACAAGGAGAAGAAATATATTTATTATATTTTTGCAATTGAAATAACGGATTTTATTACATACTTACTAATAAATACGGGGTTTTTGTATATGCGATACGACACAATTGCTTTAACCCATATCAGCCCTCGCCGTATCACACCCCAAAACCCGTATCAGCCCCCGCCGTATCACACCTCAAAACCCGTATCAGCCCGCAAAACCCATATAACACCCCTTTTGGATTTTTTTCGTTTTTCAATATTTCAAAAATAAAAATATATCATAAGATAGTAGTTTTTATTAGTAAGTATGTAATAAACAGAATAAAACCCGCCTTTTTCCATATCACACCCAGTATCAACCCTCGACCAATATCAGCCCTCGGCCCTTCGGCCCTTGGGCTGATATTGCAGTCTCGGGTTGATACTGGGTGTGATATGGAAAAAGGCATGTATTATTCTCTATCTATCAACTTGATAAAACTGATATCTTTAACACTGTGACAAATATCAAAAGTGATATTTTCACTTTTTGGTATTGACCAATCATAACGGTATCTTCAATTCGCTGCATTCAAAGGCAACGATTTTTTTGTTCAGATTCAAATGAAGCGGTAGAATAAGTGGTTGTTATGGTATTTACATATATATACAATTAATAACATTTGTATAAGCATTCATACCAGAAAATAGCAGAAAACATTGGAATAGCGTTAAGTATCCCATTCAAAATGGCGCGCAGCCTTGTTGTTAAGCGTGACGTCATTAGAATATGGCGCTAATTATTACGCTTCTGATTACCGCCCTTTTCTAATGCATGACATTGTTCAAGTTTTATGCTTTGAAAATGTAATAAATAGAGGATTGCTGTCAAAAACTAGCGAAGTGAAGAAACTTTTTTTAAAGATCCCTATCCAAATTTGCTTTAGTTTTTGGTATAAAAGTACGATCAGGGCACGTCTGTCGACGAACCGATAGCTCAATCGGCAAGGGCAACAGCATTACAATTTGTACTCAAGCGTTCAAATCCCGCTCTGACACCACTGTCTTTATACATTGAGAACACTGTAGTTGATTATGATTTGTGTTTTACATCTTGGTTATTTGTTCATATAAGTATTGCAAGGTATTGCCATCTTAAAAACATATAAAAACTGAATTCAGTTCAGAAAAGTCAGTTTTATTGGTTATTTTTTTTTGTAAACATAAGCGGCGTCACCACGTCGTTGTCGTAGTAGCAGTGTGCCAATCCTCAATTTCCATGTCATTTCAGAACAGCCTGTGTCAACTGTAATAAATAAATAAATAGTGTTTGCTACAATTTTTGACAAAATACATTTGCTCAGTATATCCGTCGATAGCAAATAGTAGTTTAGTGGCAACATTGTACATAACGAGGGTTTTGAAATCATTTCATAGTCTCACATGTTTGTTTAAGGAAAACGTATATATTATATAAAAGATGTAAATGTTATTGATTGCAGTGAGGAGGAATATAAAACCCGAATACAGACGTTACAGAGAGAAACAAAAGCCACAGCAGCGCAGTGAGTATTTCAACTTATAATTACTACAATAGAATCTATACGACATAACGATAATAGGAGAGCGAACTTATAGTTTAAGGAAAGCAGTTAATATTAATCAGCATGATTGTTTAATTCTTACACGACAATGCCCTAGGAAAAGATGATGATATAATGTGATCAGATCATAAAATGAACGAAACAACAAACGTTCGTCTCATAACTTGAAATTTTAGAGAATTTGCTTGGAAACCTAATATATTATCTGAATAAAGAAACATGTTTTTTCATTATTAACGAACATTTTTTTAAAAGACATTAACTCACAAAATCACCATGTAAAGGGCAAATAAAAACAGCTCTCCGAATGATATCGTAACATTTCGTCTAAATAGCACTCCAATACTTAAGGCAGTCAGAGCCCGATATCGGGTAGAATGGGTAAGCATATTACCCTCCCTTTGACTGGCTGCGGTGTTATAGTGCTTGACAAAAAAAGATTAGTTTTATTATCTAACCACACTAATGAATATCATTCCAAATATGAGGCATCCGTGTACCTATGTCCGCAAGTCACGACGTTGTACGCGGACGGCAACTCTTGGGACGATCTGCTTACCATGATTCAGATTTAAAACTTGCCGTGATACTGTCGATTGAGGGACACCAATATATTGGTTGACGCGACGTAGCAGTTGTCCTGGTATGAGTTGGGCAATAATCCGAAACCGCCTTGATGTAGATAATGCATCAGAACATACCAGTCACACCTGGTATTTTTGTTGTTCGGGTGTTAGAGTTGCCATATTAATCACCCGACATATTACCGGAACAGCACGTTTAGGATTTTCTTTGGCGACGCGTTAGGGAAGCGTCAGATCGCTATCTAACTTGCAGAAACTGAACAAATCGTTGAACAGTGGATGGGACAACATTCCTGCTCATCTTATCCGTCGGTTTACTAGTTGTATGTGGCGACTCTACAACGCTGTTACGTGACTTATGAAAGTCTAATTGTACCCCGCGTTAATGTCACATGTAATTCATTTACAGGAGCATATCTTTTTCTTCATTTCTGACAAGTAAGTCAACAATAAACAATCCTTTGACTGAATTGATATAAAGCTGAATATAAATGCAATTCAAATGAAAAATAAATTTATGACAGCTGAAAGTATTGTTTACATTCCTTCTTTCTTTTTTGTTGCTATGACTTAATATTACCTATATATGAAATTGGTCTAGGATTGCAATATTTGACGATGAAATTTTAGACTGAAATGTTTAACTAGTGTGTTAAAATAATTGATTCACGTTGAAGGTTGTATGAATAGTATGAATTGAAATTTCCTTACAAAATAATCATATCCTGTACAGTTATCATATTAAGCCTCCATAGTGTAAACCTGGTTGTTTTAAGTGCGATGATGCATTTTTCGCTCACCCACTCTGTAGGGTAACAGTTGTGTAATGTATTTGCCAATCAATATTTAACAGCAAGAAGGATGTAAAGGCCTATGATAAAAAGAATTTTAAAATAAAAAAATATATAGAAGGATTTATGACAGACCATGCTAGTCAACATCAAATGATCTATTAGAAAATATAAGTTTGATTTGCTTGCAGGAAGGACACCGACAAGGCTCGTATACAGACATTGCAGGCAAACAATAACGGACTAGCAGGGGAACTGCGAGACCAAAAAAGGTGAGGTTGAAGCCTGATGGATGCAATACCTAACTATTCATACTTGTACTGAAAAAGCGAAAGTTTCCAATAGGTGCTTCCTTAAGGTGGCTCCACACATCGTCATCAGTGTCCATTTTCGTGACGTTCTTCCGGAAAAAGTACAGCTCGGACTCAATTATCTTGATCGAAATGTGCATGTACACCGTGTCGTCATTTTCGTATTGCGTATCGGGCTTTTCAATATCGTAGCGCAAATTATAGTAACACCAGGTAAACAATAGTACACGTGCGTTACGATGATATGTCAACACTCAATATCGAGATTTTATGATCACACGTACTTCGGGAATAAAGCTTCCAATTCATAGACATAAACAGACTCACGGGAAGACACTGACATGAGACCAGACGACCTCAAGAAGGTCATATATGAAACACATGGATGCGGACTGATGTGATTTGTGTACCGTCTCCACATGTGCATATCACGTGCTTACACAAGTTCATAAGCTCTAGGTCGTTACGATTTTCGCTGTTGAGCGAGTTTTGCTCTATCGATTAATTCGTTTTTACAAATGCAGTCTACTTACTCTGTGAAAATATTGTTTTTTAAAATATCAATATCCCTATGAAATGCATATGTGAGTGCACGTCGGAACGCCATATCATGCGACATGTCACATGTAACTGGCATGTAAATATACCGTGAGTTAGCGGTCTGTGGAATAATGTCCAAAGTTTACATAACTGAGAGTATTTTGGTTCCATAAAAGAACAATAACTTGATAACTGATTACATTATTTTGATTTTTTTCCATCATTTTTTTATATGTTAACAGAGACAACTGTCATTATGTAAATTGAAACCCTCTATAAAAAAAAAAAATTCAAGGGAGATAACTCTCAACAGGATCAAAGTGATTGTAAAATGTAAAATAAATTAGTTATAAAGCCATTGTGTATATATTGTTCAATTTCCCATTCTATATATATAGATCTTTGTGTCCTGTTTGCTTTAAGTTGTAGATAATCACTTGTATCCGTACAAATTCAATGAAAAACACTTTGTGTAAAATGTGTTACATATTTTGCGATAACTAAAATATGTGTAGGGTTAATTTAGCAATGCTTCTTTTCATTTTTTATTGTTGGTATTGCTCCGAGCAATGCCTCACACACAAAAAAACAGGAAAATATCAAAATTGATAATATATAAAATATCAATTTTTTGTTATTTTTTCAAAAAAAATGTCCCCTAACTATCGGAATGCTTAGATTTTCATAAAATCAATTCTACATAGTTGCATAACCATTATTTGAATGTTTCAACAAATTTTGCTGGTTAATTGCGAAAGTGTGGAGCCTCCTTAAATCGTATTTCTGTTTTGTATTTGTCACATTGCTGGTGCTGTCTATCGCAAACGACTACTGTGGTAACTTATCCAATGTTTTAAGTTTTTCTTTTAGAATCACCCCAGTAAGTAAATGATCTTGGTATTTTGGTATTTGTTCATTCCATTACATAGTTTGATTTGTTTCACCGCCAAGCCCCTAAACATTGTCACACTTGCTTAGATCGGTTACTTTGCGGTAAGACAAAAGTGAAATAAGTTAACTGGAAAAGTTATTTCAAACATTTTGAAATATGCCATTGATGAAATTTCCATTTTAACATCAACAAACATGGTATTTGAAGGAAAAGAAGAATATATGCGTGTTTTTGGTCTTTTTATCAATCTTAATACTCACGTATAGTAACTAGTATCGCTGGTATATTATTATCAAGGCTGAAAATAAACATGCTAACACAAGTTTGTATGTACATATTAACATCTGCGGGAGAAATAAGACCAACAATTTTTTTTATTATTCCTGTTATGGTAGGAAGTATTTAGACAGATATTGTTAACGTGATTTAGATCAAACATTAACTACTCGGTTTATTGGTATTTCACAGATTTTCGGTAATTATTTTAAATTTCTTGACTTTAATGCTTATCGGTTTGTTGACACTAAGTACATCAACGTAAGCATTACTGATACTGTTAATGACGTCACACAAAACAGCTTATTACAGTCTGAATTGTTTAGAATGCAAGCTCATGCAGTTCAGTTTACGAGGCTACGTCACAAATAGCGACATTGACACAAGTTTAAAAGTATTTGATTTCACAAATTTGAATACATGAATGCTTTTTGTTGTCTTCTAATTGACAAAAGTAGCTCATTGACACTTATTACAGCAAAATCATTTTTGGGATTCATATAAAGAAGTTATATATTCGGATATAGGACGTTGATAATCTGCGATGATGTGAAACCTAGGGTATTGCATCAGAGATATTTAGTAAGAGGCAGTTATGAAGGACTTAAGGAAATAATGTATACCTTAAAAGAAAAAAAGAATTATTGATCACATCAGATATATTTAGTAATAGGTAGTTTTGAAGGAATTAAGGAAATAATTTATACCTTAAAAGAAAAAAAAATATCTATCACATCAGAGATATTTAGTAAGTGGCAGTTATGAAGGACTAAAGGAAATATAAACATTAAAAGAAAAAAAAAATGATATCTTATAAAAAACAACGATGTCTATGAAGAAAATAATGATATCTATAAAGACACCAGTAACATACCTGCATTACAATGAATACCTTTCTCAGTAACTGCTAAATAAGTTTTTGTCTTATTACATTCTTTAATGAAATAAATGTATTGTCAGCGCTTATAAATCAGTCTAGTTATACATAACGTTTGTATTTTTAATTGTTATATATATATTAATTATTCAGGTAATGTCACAAATTACAAACTGCATTTAAAGGTGAAAGTGCTGTTTATCGCGAAATTACTTATTCTGTCTAGTTTTCACGCAAAATAATTTCAATAAAACAGAGTATCATATATCTTTCTACTGTCACCAGTCGGACTAATAACAAGTTACAATGCATGTACTCCAATACGGTTTCACTATGCTGTCTTCTTTTTTGTTCTGTATCTTACAACTTTCATTATCATCGCCTACTTTGAAAGAGTTTCAGAGAAACAGAGAGAGGAACTGGAACAGAAAATACAAGAACAACTGGAGGTAAGACTATGTAAATCTGCTTCCATATACCGGTCAATGTTCTTTACATAATACACAGCATAATTAACTTATTTTATGATTAGAAACCCAACCAAAACATAATAATATCGGTCGCAAATAGTAACTTCTAAATACCGATATCATGTAAAAATCTAAAAATAACAGAAAGCCAAATGGATAAAAGTTGTCAATGATATACCTCTGTTTAGAAATATAGTTTTACATTAATGCTTATTTTTATGCATATAGACGTATGCAAATGGCTATTATTAACACGTTGATAACCTAAATGTTTATCCACAAACTCGAGAATGTGTATCATTATTAGCCCCCAACCGATTCCCGGGGGGTCTATAGGTTTTCACTCCGTCCGTCCGTCCGTCCTTCCGTCCGTCTTTCCACTTTAAGTACATCCTAACACAAGTGAACTGTTTGTTAAACATAGAAATCATTTCCGGTGGGGGACTTTGGATTGCCCTGCAGTGCTTTGCCTTGTTTACAATTACTTACCCAAATACAAATGTGCATTCCATATCAAAGGCATTTTTTTGCGTTTTAGAATCGGATACCGTGTTCAGTGAGTATACATTTCATTCACCTTAACTGTACGCTAAGTATCATGGATACACCTGTTTTGTGCATCTGCCGGCAAAGATGTTCGACTTGGTACAATAAGTCAATGTTGTGTTAATGAGGAACATTTACAGTCAATCGAAAGGTTATGATCTATACAACTATCAATAGAATCATACGTGGGTTTAATGCCAAGATTACAAAACTGTTTGATATTGAGACGTATAAAACTCTTGCGAGTGAATTAAGCACCGATATAATTGAAATTACCCCTAATCACTTTATTATTAACACCACCATTTTAAAACAATCTAGGAGCAATATTTGTTTCTGCAAATCTGCAAGTAAAATACTATATGATAAATTCGCCTTCATTACGGAGGGCAAAATAAGCTAATATTTTATGATTAAGCTGCAGCGAAAATTTTCCGGGATAGAGTATTATCGTCATTGTTTTAAATTTCCTGTCAAATTTGAAAGACCTTGACATCCATGCGACTTCTAATAGTCTTCTAGATCATTAAGCAGACACGAGAACAGAAAATGGAAATATCTCTGCTGTTGTTTAACTCTAGAGCTACAAGTAAATACATTTGAAAGTTAAAGAACAAAACAAAGCTATGATGAAATAACCACCCTGCGGGTTGGTGGAAAGGATAGACCTACTGTATTCTAATGCATATCGTAAAAGGCGACAAATTTGCAACCTCCTTTCCAGTCATAATTGATGTTTTCTTCTGTGTTTGCCTATTGACATTTTCTCTCTACTCTTTGGGTAGTGGTTCTCCTTGATTCGGGGTTGAAGCCTGGGCAGGCCTAGGTTAAGGCAGCTTGTTCCTCGATATGATTTGACTCTGGTGCTTGAGTCATTGCTGCTGATACCTTTTGGACCTATTGATTCTCCTACTTTAAAATCGTTTTCTTCGACGCAGTTTTCCTCATTGCCGTGGCTTGTAAATGTAGATGAAGTGAGATGCCTGGATATTCACCGAATCCACTTATATTGCATCGCTGGTGTCCTTGATAGGTCATTAAGATCTGGATAGGTTGCTATGTTTGTATCGCCACTGCAGATCAAGAAGGATTAGCGTGAAATTGTCTATCGGTCTCTTTCTAGGTAGATTAGTGAAGCCACCAGGTCTGTATTTGATAGCTCAGATGATAGTTTTTCTTAAGGTAGGAGCCGAAGAAGCTACGACCTCGTTGTGCCTTTTGGACCTTCACCTCTCATTCGGATGTCCTTTACTCTGTTGGTCCGATGGACGTAGCCGTTCGGTGGCTGTGCATGCTAAGCAATTTGTAATCCTTTTGACATCATAGATCTGAGTGAAACAACCCCTTGCGTCGCGCGATGATTCTACAAGATAGATTCCCGAGTCCTTCCTTCCTTCCTCTCTTCCTTGAAATCTTCTCGAGTTTTTCGTGACAGCCTGGTTCGCTTGCATTTCTCTGTTGTACGACGAATTCGCATACTAAAGTTACGCCGATGCTAACAGAATGAAATTGCGTTTCATCTATGGCAAAACCAATTTTCCAGACGAAATACTGACAAAAACATCAGTGAGCCAATCTTTTACTCATCCCTTTTCTTCCTAAGCATAGGAGCCAATTTGGAATTAACGGCAATGCAACAACCATATTTTCCCGTAAAATCAAGATTGTCAAAATATAAAACACTTATTACTAAACCATATCTAGTACCGTGATATTGTTTGACATTGATACTTACCACAAGTAAAAATGATTTTGAAAAAATATCAATTTGTATTTTTAATGACACCTGCAAATGGTAATGTCTATATTGTATGTTTAGCAAAATTGTCAGTTTTATCTTGAATCAACTTATGTATTTATGATAAAATGTATTACCGTATTTGTTTGTGTAGTGCCCGCTTTGTTAAGTTTCCCACAAACCTGAAAATCCCTTTATGACATATCGTCTGCAGATTGTCCGCTATTAAACCTATGAACACTCTCTGAATACCGGGCCCAATGTCAACGTCAGATACATAAATATCCTGTCTGTACTTATCTTGTTATGAAACAATGTCAGCAATATATGCTTTTAATTAAGAAAACAACCAAAACAATAACTTTGAGATGATTTCCTTTACATATGATTGATATGCTTAAGCTTAAATTCGCTATTCTGTTTTACAGAGTCATTGCGACTCTAAGAACCTTATTAAGTACTCTAAAGAGACAATATGATATGTTACAAACAATCATGGCGACACCTAGACTCTATCAAAGTACTCAGCATAAACACTATAATACAGTGTAGTTAATAAGAACCAACTTTTCATTCATATGTTCAATTATAACACTTGACAATTTCTACCTATATGTTGTGCTTTTGTTGTAATTGAATGGCTATACGATTTTGGATTTGCAATATTTCATGTAGACCGCATTTTAATCATTTTGTATTGGAAATATTTCGTTACGTTGCTCGCTTCATCAGATAGTCTGCAGAGGGCATTTTACAATATTTTAAACAAAATAGTCCACGTGAAATACAGAAGAAATGCCGTTGATATGTCGACAAGACAACACTGTTCTTTTCATTAATTAAAGAGCGAGGCTGGTGAGTATATGGTGATTGTTTTCACATTGCTGCCTCAAAATATATACGAACTTCTTTAAGCAGACTATTCCAGATAACTGAGAAAATGAAATAACAAACATGGTATATCAAAGGATTTCTAAATGATAAATCATACCAGTTTACCTGATATCTGATATAAAAACCGGGTTCTTTTGCTAACTCACCCATTTATGTTTGTTAGATTTGGTAGCAATACAACACTTGTTTATGCTTCGTACAATGCAATGCAATACAATGTAAATTCATGTTATTTGATTAATTGTTAAAATAACAACAAAATCTCACAGGTATCTGGATTATAGTAATGTTGTCTTTTTATGGTATGATTCTGCAATGTGCAGGAATAGTTTCATGTTTGTATGTAAAACTCCACAATTAAGTCACAAACCCGCTCTAAGTCGTCGATATTACGTATATGTGTCTGCTATTATTACTTTTTTTCCAATCATGCATTTAAAATACATTGTAATAGTGTCTGTTGTTTTATTACAAGGGGTGTGGTGGACCAAAGGGGCGTTGTAGATGTGTAAGTATTCTGAAACAGTTTATCGCATCATATAATGTTAACTTGTAGCATTTACGTAATAAGATATATAACATCCAATTGGTTTTTGTGATTCTGGTCAGATAACCAGGTTTATGGACACTATGTTTAAACCGGTATTAAGAATTTTACATTTTTTTGTTTGTTTGTTGTTTCTTTTTCTTATTTTTTTTCAATTCCGATGTATTTAACACATCAAGCTCATATATAAACAGAAATCTCATTCAAAACTTCAGTACTGTTTATTAAGATATATTCATTTGTTAGATGCCTATGACATGTCTGCTACTTCATTTTCCTCGTCTGTATTGCAAGAATTATTTTGTTTTGTAGACAACATGTCCGAGTTGTTCCGTAAGTATCAATGTATATTTTCTTTGGTTATATCATTAAAACAACAGATGAAGTGTTTTGACTGGCATAGCTATATCAAGTAGAATGTGTTGCTTTAATACAGACGATTACTTGTTTGGATCAAAGCGTTGTTAAGCTAAGTTACATTGCAAATGTTACCTATCTGAGAATTACTTAATCTAATATATAACTTTAATGATTGAAAGCAAAGCCTTCTCATCAAATTATTTAATGTTTGTGTTATTATGATAGTCCTTTAATGAAAAAAAAACCCAAATCTGGTGTTGATGCAGGTTGGTCAATATCCCGTTTCTTCTTTTAGTACAAAGGAACTGATTTCCAAACTGTAAGTATATTAGTTACTGTCTATTTATGCTGTATTTAATGCCAACATTGTTGTTATAGGTATACAGTTAAAGTATGTTTTTGGCATTTCACTAAGATACACATTTTTATCGTTATGATCCAATTGCGTATATATCTGTAAATGTTAAACGACAAAGGTTACTTTAATCTTGACGAACCATCGTACATACTGTTCGTTGAAAACTGTGAAGCTTTGAACAGATACATTCGCCACTAAATATACATTTGCTTCCTTTTTAGAATAACACATCTGAATTGATATGATATTTGCTTTCGTTTAGTAATTTTAATTTAAAAAAAATAATAATAACAAAACAAATCTTTAAGTGGTACTCTTATGAGGTTTTAATCACGCTAAAATCTCGTTTTCATCTTCTGTAACGGGTTTCAAAGACGTCAACAAATGATGTTCAATTTTAAAAGTAAACACGCTTCGAAAGCATGTTTCAAAGAACTAGATGCATGTTTGTAGAATTGTTTTATGTAAGAGTTTTCTATCAGTCCGTCTGTGCTTCACGAAATGTCAAAATGTCACCTTTGTGACAATAGATTAATCACACAAATTGTCATTGTGTCGCTTTTGTTCAATTGCAGCAAATCGATGTTGCTGAACAAGTTTATAATGTTCAATATAATGAAAGTAATATGCAACAAAGGTGAAAATTATACATTATTGGTGTTTAACCTATTTTATATTATTGTTGCTTTTTTTTTTAATTTTTGACAAAACGTGAAAAACAACTAAAACGACTATATGGCTAACAAAGAAGCACACTGAACCCCTAAACTGTGTCGTTTAACATTTACAGAAACACGTTGCTGTTTAAGAAAGGGAAACAGGTTTTCCTTCGATTAATCGAATATTAAATCAAGTTAAATAGCAGAAGTATTAATATCGAAATCACATACTATATTAAATTAGTATATATGACCGATAAAAGCACATTTTTAACTATACCATTAACTCCTTTCTTCCAAAAATATATGCAAGGAAATAACTTTAATTTAAAAATTTGGATGCGTACACTTTTAAGGCTTTGATTGAAGAAAAACTTAAATCCATAAAGGCTATTAATAGTAACTGAGCGTCACTATGCAACATATTCAACATTTATATGTAATATACTTATAAAACGATAATTTATTGTGCGATGTAACTATAGTTATCATTGGTTAATAACCACGTTTTGATAAATAATAGACCATGCGCATTTATGAATTAATCTCAGACAAACGCTCTTCAAAACAACATCTCCGCATTTTTNGCATTTAAAGTTGTATGTCATTAAAAACTACATCACAGACATACCAATACCGATTTAACTTATATATCTACTTTAACTCACGGTCGGAATGTTCCGCCAAACTTACCGTGACGGTGACCTGAAATACCTCAAATGCTGATTTCATGTGCTAACATCAATGTAGCTTTAATGGTTTTGATGATTGAAACAAACACATGGTGACGCCATTGTGTGTTGTTTGTCGACCAGACGTGGCTTATAGTGTTGATGTTCATATTTATCATAAGTTGTAGAATACAGAACCATTTCTGCTGTAAATAACAAACTTGGTCCGGTCAGGCTACGCATTAACAAGCGTCAAAAATACAAACCAATTAACTCCTTTTCACAACTTTTCAAACCAGCTACAGACGTTTTATGGGGACCTTTTGGGGTCATTTGGGAATGTGTGAATGTATCGAGTAACCGGCAAACTGACATTTTCATTGATGTCAAATCATCGAACAAGCACAGTTACAATAACATTTTACAAATTTAATCATCCTTATAATTTGTTCTTAAAAATAGATGTACTTCAATATTACGCAGGCCGCGTCAACAGAGTGAAATTGTAGGACTAGATTGAAAATTGTCTTCATTTAAGATGTCATAACTGCTCATATCTAATAACGTTGTACACATTTCGGAAATTGTATCCTACAATATCTATTTCCTATTATATTGCCAAAAAATACCGATATGAAACCTGATAGTAGACACCCGCCAACCAAATTAGACTCGGTTGCCGCTGTTAAAACGTCATGCTGTTAACGATATAGACATTCGTAACAATTAATGATTTTCTTGACATCGCTAATGAGTAAAATTTACAGATTAAACATTACACACTATGCGCAAACGTGAATAACGTTTGGGATTGTTATTATCTTCAAAGAATACAAAGTACGCATTAAAATGCTCATAGATGGATTATATAAAATAGTACATGGTCATAATGCTTATGTTTCTGTGTAATTTGTTTTTTCCAATAGCATTACCCCCACATGTCCCCATTCTCGGATTTCACACTGTTCCCTCGGATTACTCAAGCATGTTCAAAATAGCACTGAATGTTTTATGAAATTATCATCTGCGTTTTAAATATTGAATATGGTTAATGAATAGACTAATTGAGTATTAATACCGCTGATGCTTCCATGTACAAGGAAATCCGTGATACTCTATGAGTAACGCTTACTTAATTTCCCTCTGCCTCTGGAATATGTCATAGCAAACTTGAATCTCCACGACTAGCTATGTGATTAGTCTTGTGTAAAAACTACCTGAGCAATCGCTAGCTTGATCAAATATTTTCTTATTTTCAACGGGACGAAAGACAGTGTCAATAAGATAGTGTAAATGTTCCTAAAACAATAAATGTTATATTAAGATATAATGAAAACAAACCAACAGTATTTCTTTTCTAATCTTTTAAAAAAGAATCTGTTAAAAACGATTAAACATTTTATTATAATTACCATGTAACATGAACTTGACTAATCGATATTGTTTATGTAAACAATTTCACTTCCTTATGATGTCATATGAATGCACCAAGAGACTCTGAAGACATGCCAGTTTAATGCAATTTAATATTTAAACAATTTCATTTATTTTCATAGAACAATTTATCTAAAGAATGCTTAGTTCGTTTTAACCACATTCAGGAATTGAAAATCTCCTTCACATACTTTCGAAAACGTCTGTTTCGTTTGTCAAGCAATATGTAAAATGCTTGTTAAAGACAACAGACGTTTTTTCAAACCTGGTAACTAAGTTTTCAATTTCGGTTTGTAGTCAAAACGAACTCCTCATCAATACCAAAATGACGAATCTCATTCCGATAGCAACATATCTAGACTATGATGTATGGCTTTCTACACATTGCAAACGGTACAAAACATGTATTTTGTATAAAATGTGACGTATTATATGATTACGAAAAGACGTGTGTCATCAATATATCTTATACAACACAAATATCGTATACCGTCACCACAGTTGATGTTATCCGATCTGATTGCACTTTATTTCAATTTGATATTTTACTCCCGCTGCTGCAATACATACAATTGTTTGTATGTGGCTTATATATTGCTGTCCATATCCATCACTAATTCTAGCATACATAATATTTTCTGCTTTAAATAACATAATTGGTCAGGGAAGGCTACGCATCACTGTTAATGTTTTGTCCCTTTAACAAATCGAGGAAAATACACACCGATTAACTCCTTTTCTTTATTTCAAACTTTCAAAATATGTATAAATATTTTACAATAAAACACAGTCGATATACAGCGCCAATAACATTATACTAATCTTTTCCCCGTTATTTACAATTTTAGTTGTATTACGTATACAGTTAACTACGCAATATTAACATCAATGTCAAATCATCGAACAAGCATAGTTATACCAGTGTTTTGAAAAAATAAACAATTTTACAATTTGTCCTTGAAAGAAGTGTATAAATATATTTACAGTTTATGAGTTATTTGATGTATCTAAGAAAGCACTTTAAAGAAATAGACATCGAACATACAGTGTATGCAGATATGCGTCTATTAATAAGGCAGTTGCAACGAATAAATGATAAGTCTCTCGTAAAAGTATACCTCTATGATTCATTTCAAAGAGCAGGACAAAGTGGTTATGGGACAAAACAGAATGTAGTTAAAGTCAATGCATTTGAGCAAATACTACAACGAGTTGTTCCGATATATTATATCGCTCCTAAAATAACTGTTTACGTAATATAAGGGTGCCGTTTACACTGAGTGAAGTTGCTAGAACGGCAGACAGACACGTGTCTTCATTTAAAATGCTATTTCTGCCAATAACTTTTAGCGCTGTACTCATTTACGTAAATGTAATATAAAGCTGTATTTTGTNCCGCTGTGTCAGCATCGCGACTTCATCGATTTAGAAATTCGTAAAACTGTATGCTTATCATGACATACTTATGTTTATGTTTCTTTGCCAAATTAATATCCTCATGTCTTCCTTCTCGTAGACCACAGGTTTTTCCTCGAATTACGCACACATGTTAAACATAACACACTTAAT